GCTGTATGAAAGGGGTTTGAAAACAACAGTTGGTACTTTTGATGAAGGCAGAGACAATGCTGCTCATGAAATGAGAACAACCCAGTCAAAGGTCAGATCTATCGGAAGCTTGTTTAATTGCGTTCCCCTTTCAAGGTTGGTGATAGAGGTTGGGGGGTCTCTGAAGGAGGCAGCATGATATCATACCCAGATAATTCACAACAGGGGATTTATTGTTTAAATACAAAACAGTTTGATGCAAGGTTTTAAGACAAAATTATACTCCCCAGTAGTTGTGCTGTTTAGAGATTGCTGACTGATACAATTGCTGCCCAACTGTAGGTCAAACTCTGTGGTGGAGAAAAGTAAAGATATAACTATGACTTTCTTCCACAACTTAGAAAGCAATATCTTTAAAATTACATTTGTCAGGGACCATGTACAAAAAACTTTCACCTCAAGCAATAAGACGTGATGCCATAAACCAGTTTAGCTAGTAGCTGCAGTACTTTTGATCTGCAGTCCACATGACCAGATACACAAAAACACTGCAACATAAAGATATAGAATTTAATGTGCAGTGAATTCCATATATATCCACTCATCCCCACGCAGGAAGAATATACGGCAGATGTCATAGTGTAAATTAAATAATTACAGTTATATGTAATTTCAAATAAATGCTGACATGACATGGCACATGAAAAGGTTATTTAAAATCTCTTTCATCATGGGGAAATATTAAAAGTATTTTGTTCCTCACTGGCCTTCCTCACTCCTATTTGCTCGGAATGCTTTTGAACAGTGGAGGAGCAGTTTTGACATTTGATTAAAAATGAAGCTGTCAAACCTCAACACATTATTTTTATTAGGTATGTAATAATGATAACAGTGTCCTTCTTTTCTATTAATCTTTCAAAGCCTTATTGGTTTCAAGGCTATCTTCCATGAGACCAACATAATATACAGCAATAGCAATGAAAAAATGTAATTGCACTGTTTCTAATCTGCCTGAAGCTATATTTCAGCATATGGCTCATTTTCTCCAAATGCATCTTATATGATGTTTTGGCCATCATTTGTTTTGGTAAGAACATTCTACTCACAAATCTGGGACCGTTAGGTCTAGGGCTGTAATGATTCATCGATTAAATCGATTAATTCGATTACTAAAAATGCTTCATTAATCCATATAACTATATAGCACACTGTTTCGCATGGACATTTATTACTGTCACACATCGCGCTTACGCTGTGTGAAGACGACGTAATTATGATGCCGCTGTTTGCAAAGTGGAGGAAGAGAGAGAAAATAGCAAGTTACGAAGAAGAAAGTGTCCAAATTATGGGATTATTTCAAGCTAAAAGAAAACAACAACGCTGAATGTTACAGTCCGTCCACAGTAACGTGGCCTACCCATAGACTGTATATAAAAAGGGCCTGCCGCACCAGCACAACGGCGTAATGTGATGTCTGTCCACCGTAAAACAAAACTTATGTCGCCTACTGCAACAGCACAATGGCACCTGATCAGAAAGCACCCAGTGTTATGCTCATGGACCACAGTCAAGGTAGGTAACAGTTACAGCAACTTTAGCATTTAACTGAAATCATGTTTAATTGTTGAGTTGAAGCCAAAGTAAGGCATCCACCATCCTCAGCTGAAAATGTACACATGTGCGTTTGTTGTTCTCCTGGTTGGGAGTGAGTTTGGGTTGTAAAGGTCATGAGTTAACTGGATGTCGGGGAGCTGCACCTTAGTTTAACTTGTTTAGCACTGGTTGTTGGTCGGTTGATGTCTGATGTTTGCTGTATGACACTATGAATTTCCGAAAGGACTAATAAATATCAATCATCTATCAACTTACACAGCTGATCCCGTTACGGGCAAAAGTACTTCTTAAACGATACATACATTACATACATCGATGACATAATCTGTAGAAGCTACAAGTAGTAAAATCATCGTTAGCTGCAGCCCTAGTTAGTTCAGGCAGAGCACTAAAGTCATGCTTGTATTAGCTGACTGGCATCAGCTGTTTTATTCATGCCTCAGCATCACTGGCAGCCGATTAGTAACATCTAATTATATTCTTGCAGGTGTACAGTGCGGCCCATTATAACCTGACACTTCTCACTTTACTCTGCTGGCACCAGCTCCCTAGACCACTGCAACCTCCTCCATATGTGCTATTTTCTTGGTTTTGTTGATGCAACTAAGATTGAATGTTTTTTATGTGTTTATTAACACATAGTTTCCCAAGTGAATCCTCTTTGCAGCTAGCATTCTTTGAGAGCTCCCTCAAAGAGCAGAGCATTTCCCACTGATATCTAACTGTAAAACTATAAATGGTCAATGGCTTGAAGGAAGCAGCGCTGACTGAACTATACTTCCCACAGTTGTGTGCATAGTTTTCTTGAAATGAGAGTGACTGTATTTATATTTTTGAGCTGTTACATTTATAATAATAATAATGGACTGGCGACCTGTCCAGGGTGTATTCCGCCTTTTGCCCAATGACAGCTGGGATTGGTTCCAGCCCCCCCGCGACCCTGTACGCAGGATAAGCGGTTGACGATGGATGGATGGATGGATGGATGGATAATAATACATTTTATTCGTGGGCGCCTTTCATAGCACTCAAGCACTCATCTTTTTTTAATAGCACAATTCTTCTGTTTGTGTAAATTTTTTATTTCACACTTGCCTTGGCAATGAAAATCGTCTGTTTCCTATGCCAGCTGTCATGATCTGGCTGTGCCACCTCTTCTGCCCTCATGTTTTCCTCTGTCCCTTCCCTTATCATTCCAGTCAGTCTCTGTCTGTCTAGTGTGTGTGTGTGGTAATAGGCGGGGTGCTCCAGCTGATTTCCGGCAGCGGTCCACACCTGAGGCTCATCCCTACAATCAACCTCTGCAATAAAAACCCGGCTCAACTTCCAGTCAGCGCCAGATCGTCCGTTAAGCCACAGTGGTAACCAAGGCCCAGCTCTAGTTTTCTAGTCTTGAGAGTAGAGTTTTGATCTAGTCTGTGACTCTATTTACAGCCTGTGTTTTTTCCTCCTATTCAGATCCCTGCTCCGGTTGTGAAGACACAGCTTGCCAGTCCAGCCTGAGTTTTTTGAGCTTGGTTACACTCTGCCTACCCGCTCTCCGCCTCAGCCCACTGAACCCAACTTTGCACATTCAGCTTGTCAATAAACTGTTCTAAGTGTGAATTAACCCGCCTTGTGTCCACTCTTGGATACACTCAGCTTCCCTAACACCAATAAAGCCCATTGAATTGAAGTGAATTGATTCCCGAATCTCTGACTGCTCTTTTTCAGTTTCACCTTCAAATAAATTTAAATTGTTGGTTAAATAATGTGGATAAACTGTTGGTCTGACTGTGTGTATATATAATCACAACCAACAAATATGATGGTCATATATTGACACACAAGTTGAAATAAACCAGAATTAGGTTCCAAACAGTTCCTAAATATTCAGAGCCCAAATCTGTTAGTTGTTTACCAACACGCATTTAAGAAGAGTTTTACATAAAAAATGTTTCTTAGTTATAATTAAAATTACAGGCATATTTTATTTCTGTTAACAAACATTACTTAAACTAACCTTTACCAGCATCAAAATTGTTTCATTTTCCTGAAATACTTGCTTTTCATTTGCAGTAGGATAGAAGGTTCATAGCTTAGTTTTACATTTCTTTATGCATGATGGATTCTGCCTTTAACCTCACAGATAAATGTTTGTATTTTCCGTGCATTCACAAAAATATTTGGACGGACATTCGTTTATGTTTATTTCTAAAATACACTGGCAGTGTATCCTGATGTGGAGAATGTGACGAGCTATTTCACTACTTTCTCCACTGTTTCTGACAGCTTAGCAGCTACTTGTTCAGTACCTGCCAATTGAGCATATGACTGTTAATGAAAATAATTAATAATAGACTATTTATATTTAGATTACTTAGTGCAAAGTACAGGCTGGCTGACCATTAAAGGCCAACAAACACTTCTCCTTTATCAACATTCGCAGGTTTTTCCAAACTTACTCTGACATGGTTGTCTTAGGGGTCATAACTGTATGAAAAGGGAGTACCAGCTGTTGCTTGTGAGGGCAGAGACAATGCTGCTCATGAAATAAGAACAACCCAGTCAAAGGTCAGATCTATTGGAAGCTTGTTTAATTGCGTTCCCCTTTCGAGGTTGGTGATAGAGGTTGGACGGGTCCCTGAAGGAGGCGGCATGATATCATACCAGATAATTCACAACAGGGGATTTATTGTTTAAATACAAAACAGCTGATGCGCCGCTTTAATTTGACAGTCAAGTGGGGGGTAGTATTCATGTATTTATTTAATTGTAGTAAATGATGCAGATAACTGGCACTGAAATCATAAGAGCAATTGTGAAAGCCTGTGGCGCCAGACGTCTTTTATAGCGAGTGCAAAGATAATATTTGTACATTCACAAAAGATCTGTGTTGATGCCAAAGGCGTACAGCTTTTGTTCTCTACACTAACTGTCTCTGCTTATCCCTCTTATCCCGCTCCATTCTTTCCACTCACTCTCTTTCTCTGTTGTCTCTCACCCCGTATCTAATCAGCCGTTGGAAGGTGACCAACTCGCCGGATGATTGTGTAGACCTCCAGCAAAAAAATAAAAAATAAACTGCTTTTCATTGATAACGATGGTTCTTCTTCAAAACATCCATGTAAAGCTTAAAACTGGATCAAAGGTGATGAATAGTTAAATTTTCTGTGATGAGATCATTGTGCCATAAGCTTTTAGGGAACACATCACCATTTCAGGCATTTGTCCTTACTGCATTAAAATGAACAAAGAGGATGAACCTGCAGATTCAAAGCCTTATCCTCATGCAAATTTTAAATGTGAAACTCATCATGTGATGTTTGTGTTTGTGTGAAAGTAAATCTGTTTGCATTTGTGTTTGGATGTGTCTCTCTCTCGCTCGCTCTGTCTCTCTCTTTGTGTGTGTGTTTATCCCTACTCACTCGACTGTGTCCTCCCAGCTACACCAGCGTCTCTCGTCCAGCTCTTCCATGTCCATTCCGAATTTGGCCAGGCAGTACTTGTCGATGGCAAACTCATAGTGGGGTCCACACCCCAGTGCCGACACACACTGACACACTGCAGAGTGAAGTGGGAGGAAAGACAAATGTGGATGAGAAAAAGGCAGAAGCAGAGAAGGTACTGAAAGTTTTTTCCTGAGTATTTGAAATATGCAAACCAGTGAGATATGAGTTACTATTTATCATTCTGTGTGTGTGTGTGTGTGTGTGTGTGTGTGTGTGTGTGTGTGTGTGTGTGTGAGAGAGAGAGAGATTGTAGTACACAGTAAATGCATATAACTTTCATGGTCTAATTAAAGGCTATGAACGCTGAAAGCACAGTTCAGCGCCTTTGACCTTGCCTATGTTGTCGTCTGTTGATGTTTCTCCATCTGTGGGACATGATACTGAAACACCAACTGCTATCACAGTTTTATATATCCACGCACATACACACACAGACAAAATAGAAATGATAAACCGAACAGGAACATTTACAGTGAATTCCTGCTGGATGTTTTCTATTTTCATCAGTGAGCAGGGGAGTTCGTTAGACTTCTTATTGTCTAGAAGGAAATTTTTCTCTCACACGTACAGTATCTGTATACTGTTAAAATACAAATAACATAGTACATACAAACGGTATATACACACACACTGTCACCCATTCACATGCACACACACAATTCTCACAATACATGTACAGATCAACCAACAAATTGCACACTGCTTGGTTTACAGCATCCCTGTTGTCATCATAATGGTGTACATCAGCATGTACAGTACATGAAAGCAGCCTCAATTATTATTTGTTAACTTAAGTAGAGAGATGGGGTCAAAAGAGGATAAAATCTAAACTTTTCAGTGTTTACTAGAGACCATCCACCATGCTTTGGTAATATCTGATGGAAAGTACATAAAAATGTTATATCAGATAATGCCTTATAATCCCCTTGAAGGAAGAGTTTGATATTTTGGGAAATGCGATTATCTACTTTCTTACTGAGAACTAAGAAGATTGAGCAAAATATGAAGCTAGAACTGTAGCCGATTAGTTCAGCTTAGAAAAAGAGGGGAAGGTGGAAACATGGCTCCATCAATGTTTAAAAAATCCACCTAGCAGCACTTTTAGAGCTCACTAATTAAAGGGTGACGTAAGCATTTTTCAACCTCAACCGTATTTTCCCATGTTTTTGTGTGTATGTGGCTATTTGGGACAATATTTTTTGAATGAGTATAGACTACTTACACAATGTAGTGTAACATATATCCGTTTTATGTCTGCTTACTTCCTGTCAGCTCACCAGTAGGGTTAGCTTCACTGCCATTCTCCTTACAGTAATGTTTCATCCTTATGTTAGGTACTGCTCACAGATGGATTTGTATATATTTTAATAATATTTACTGTTTATTTTTGTATATGATGTTTTTGATCATTCTGATGTCAAAATGTCTAATCCGCCTAAACACCTCAGTGTTTTTAGAAATTGAGCTAGCTTTGCCAGTCAGCGAGCATAGTTAGCTACTAAAATGAACTATAATAATGCATTGTAGTGAGGGTACAGACATTTCATAGAGGAGACAAGTGCATAATGCAGATCTATCTGTCTGTTGTCATTAACAGAGATTTCAGTCTGCAAATCCACACGCTTCACTGATAAACTACAGAAGTGTAGAGTAACAATAGGCTACATGAGCCGTGACATGGGAGGACAGTCGAGAATAGGCACCGGCCGTTGGCCAATTCATTTCATTTTTATTTATATAGCGCCAATTCACAACAAAGGTTATCTCATAGCACTTTTCATAGAGCAGGTCTAGACCATATTCTGTACCTCTTAACATTCCTGTAAAATTGATGTAAAACGCCTATTCAAGGCATAGCCAAAGTAAATTGAACGTAGTTCTTGAACCATTTGGAGTACATGGATGCTTTTGGGCTTCCCTGAAAAATAACACTCTGGAGTGTCTAATCCAAAAGAATGATTGTAAGTGCTACTGGAATTGATTAAGTTAAAACACACTAAAACTAATATATTTTTCATTTCCGCTTGAAAATGCTTGCTAACAAATGCATGCAGACAACTATAGCTGGGACTTATTAGCTGGAAAACACTGTAGGACCACTGTAGGACCACGGCATTAAGCCTTACCTAGCCCAAGTTTAAATTTCATACCAATACCATGAAAAATTACTATTTTACACAGGTTTTTCTAAATGTATGTCTTAGCGTTTCTTTTCTAAAACAGCACCGCCCCTTGGTGGCAGGCGGCTGCTGCTGCATCACGCCGTAGCTTGACACAGATGTGTTTTTTTGCTGGTAGAGAAGCAAAGAACTTTCTACTTAAAGCTGGATATCGTTATTTTGCACAATTTGTTGCAATTGGCTCGGCCTACCCACGAAATAACAGGGGCTGGCCCTTCCTTACAGCGCGGGCTCTCGTTGGCTATAGAAGGTTGTGAAAGGGACATGTGATCTCCTAATTAGGTTGGATTTGGTGTCACTGGAAAGGTTAGAGTTCAGCAGCTAATTTGGAATGTTACGAGGTTAATATTATTTACAGAGACCCAACAATTCCCACCATGAGCGAGCACAGAGGCAAGGAAAACTTCCTTATAAGAGGCAGAGACCTCGAGCAGAACCATGGCTCAGGGTGGGCGGCCATCTGCCTCAAACGGTTGGGGGTAAGAGAGAGAGAGGGAGAGAACAAGAGAGAGTGAGAGAGGGCTGGGGGGTGGATGGGAGCAGCCAACACAATATCCACACAGAAATACAGACAGCAAAGGTAAAAGTGGTACAGACTGAAAATGAATAATGGTAAAGATAATTATAGTAATGTTATGATAATAAGAATTTCACGAGTGGCCTTTTATTGTGGCCACCCTAAGGCCTTTTATTGTGGCCAGCCTAAGGCATACCTGTGCAATACCCATGCTGTCTGATCAGCATCTTGATATGCCACAGCTGTGAGGTGGGTGGATTATCTCGGCAAAGGAGAAGTGCTCACTAACACAGATTTTGACAGATTTGAGAAAAATAGGCATTTTGTGTAGTCTTAGATCTTTGAGTTCAGCTCATGATGAATGGGGAATGCAAAACAGTTTATTCCATGAACAGACACAGTATCTATCTTCTTTGTTCAAACAGATTATCCATCCTCATGTTTGCTTGTGCATAAGGACAAGGCTGTCCTCCCAAGAAAAAAAACAACTGAATCAGTTGTTTAAGCAATTCTCACAGAATGACATATGTTTACACTTAAGTGATCAAGTCAGGTGATTATAGAGCGAGAAACTCCATATAGGGAGGAGGTCGGGTGGATGGATGGTTGGGTCCACAAACCATGGGACTTCGTTTGTTTCTTGTGTCAAACCACGAAACACAAACAAAAATTTGGAGGACTTGTTGGGGCCTGTTCATATAAATATATCTATAAAATTTATATTACTGCTATTTTTCACTGGTAAAAGTACCTGGTTAGTAGTTATGGCTGCCAAGCTGTAGCAAATGTGATGCTGAGAGTGTTTTTAAATTTCAGGACTTGTTGCATTCAATTTTAATATAGTAAGCCAGTGTAATAATCATCTAATGCATACCTAGATTGCTTGCTTTAGTAGCATGTTGTCTATATGTTACATCAAGAAAATGACAAATTTTAAATTTAAATATAATACATATAGGACACATGACATATGCATAAGTAACATATAACCTACATGTTCTCTGTTATCTTAGTACTCTATTTAGTAAATTACAATGTGGACCAAACACTGCTGACCGATTGCTCATTCCTGACAATACTCCTTTCTGTAAATGCGCAGATGTTAAGATGATATTTTGAAGGAAGATTAGAAGCAGTTTTAACTTCAGATTAATGTTGTTTGTTAAAGAAGACACATGGATTACTTGGAGTATGTCAATGAAGAACAAAGAATACCACCAGCAAGGCAAGCTCTTGCTGACAGATTTGACCCATAGCAATGTTTTGATGAACTTAGTTTTCGAGGTAGTTTTCGAATGCATAAAGTAAATGCTGTGGCACTTATTTCACTTTTGGAACCCAGGCTTTCATCTGTTACCCAAAGAGGACGGCCTATAGCAGTTTGTCGGCAGGTGCTCATAACTTTATGTTTTTTGGCACCTTTCACAGAGAAACTGGGGATTTATGTGGTGTCAGTGAACCAACAGTATATAAATGCACGGCTATTTGTGAATTGAGAAGACATTACATAAACTTCCTGATGCTGCAACCCAGGCAAACTACAAGGTACAATTCTACGAATTTGGGAACTTCCCAGGAGTCATAGGCCGCATAGATGGAACCCATATTCCCATAAAATGTCCCTCTACTCCAGATGCTGAGGAATACAGGAACCACAGGAACTGGTTTTCTATAAATGTCCAAAGTGTATGCATAGTTTTTAAAAATTGTTGCCCGTTGGAAAGGTGCAACTCATGAATCACGGATCTTTCTTTCTGTTTACACCATACTTGCAACAAAAACTGAGCCAAGGCACTACAACCAGGCTCATATGCGCACTAGGGAACTAGTGCGTGTTTGGAAGAGTCGTTTTCAGTGCCTTCGGAGAAAACTTATATTCCAACCAAGAAGATGCTGCACTGTTATCATTGCAACAGGTGTTCTTCACAACTACCTGAAACAACATGGATGCCCCAATACAGGAGGATGACATTCCAGATGTACCACCATTTACAACAGACCACACAGAAGGACTTGCCTACAGTAATGCTTTTGCAGTGGGTCACTTTTAGTAGTTATTTTTGACATTACCTTTTCACACATTTTCACATGTAATGTATTTTAAAAGTAAACGTGTATTCTTTTGTCTGGGATATTAAAGAAACACCCAAAACATTTTTACAAACATATTTATTGCAGATTCATGCTTGTGTTCATGAAATTCAATAGCCAGCTTTTCGTGGATTGTGACTCTTTTGTTTTGGTGAACAGTACTGCTAGACACAGTCACCCTAGCTTATGAGGATGTGGAGGGTAAATTACCTTGCAACTCAGTTTTGTCCCTTTGTCTCCTTGAAACAAGAACAGGTCATGTGT